GTTGACATTTCGGTGTCTTCAGGAGAGTCCAGTAGAACATTATTTGATTGTACTAAAAATGAATTTGAACAGTCGTATTATAATGGTGCTCTTCTCAATGATAGTTAATTTTGTGTCAGTATTTCTATTTCTTTCTATTACAAACTCCTGTTTTTGAGCCTAATAATGGCCAAAATAATTCACTTCATGTGAATATACACTATCTCAATTTTTAGAATGATACTGCTAACAAAGGTTTAGAAAGACATTTGAATGAAGAATGTTCTTGTTTTGGGACTCAACGTTTGCCTGCATTATGAAAGGCTTGAACTTTAACTTTTCTCTTTCTCTTTTTCCCCTTCTCTCCTTTTTTTCTTTTTTACCTCTCTTTCTCTCTTTGTACCAGAAAAAAAAAAAAAAAATTTTTTCTCCAAATTTCTATGCAGAAAAGTGTCTTACTTGTGAACACTACTGTGTGTGGACTGGGAAATAGGGAGTTCTGCAGTTCTGCTGTTAGTCCAGTAACAATACAGGCAATGTTTATAAAAAGTCTTTGACACAAGATAACAAGTTAACACTGTGTGTCCCAATACTGTGTAAGAAAATGAATTGTAGGATATAAAGGAAATTTCTGACCATCTCTGAATTGAACAGTTGGATGATTTGAACAGGTTTGAATACATTAGAAAGAGCAAAATGYTCATCTACGGATGAATTGCAACAACCTTCAGCAAGAACTTTCTTCAAGGTTCTTGCAGTTTCTGTATCTGCCTTAGCTGAAGCAGTGCCTGTGCATTAAATGAACAGGAACTCTTGATGGATTTCTCTTTCATGAAATTAGCCAGCCTGTTCAATCAGTATTAACTTTCAGCATTTTGCACAAAATGCAAAATTTAAAATACAAAAAAAACCCCATATTTTATTCTTGTGTACTGAATAAAATTTTTCTCTGGTATTGTCTAAAAAAAATACGATTAATGTGATTTTMTTGAAATTCCCATTTTTAATAAGAAATAGTGGCACTGCTGAAGCAGATGACAAGTGGAAGTTTGGCAACATTTATAAACAACTGATAATGGCTATTTAAAATGGTAGCATCTTGCAATTCTATTAATAAAAAGGGCTTCCAGACATGTAAGTTAATCCTCTGAATTTGAATTCTTTTAATTTTTTATTTCTAAAGATATTTATTCTCCTAGAATTAGAAGTCTTTCTCTAAAAAGCTGTTTTTAAGGTGGTAACTTAAAGAGAATACAGCAACACACTCTGAACTGAATCTCAATTATCACAAAAGAAAGCTTCTAAGTGAAGGTGATCCCACTKTTGTTAAAAAAATAAAAGTCTTTCATTGACATTTTCTGAAAGTAACACTTAAAAAAGCGATAATAGAAACCACCGCCTTTTTCTTTTTGCACAAATATAAAATATAGACTCGGGCTTAAATAAACTGAGGAAAAGAGACAGCAGGAAAGGGAGCAATGCCATACCCAAATGAACTTCTGGTTGATATTGGGAGATGATGTTTTGAGCATTATAAATCATAAGGTGGAAGACTAAAGGCATCTATTTTGAGTTCAAGGGTTGCCGCGTGAAAGCCCACCACAGTGTCTTGAGAAAAACACAAATTGTTTCTCAACTTCAACCATTCAAATTGTATTGGTGTGACTTGGCTGTGGCAGAGTTAAAGATTAGATGTCTGTTTTAATTATTTGTGATTTTCTCCCACCCAACTACTTTTTAATGGGACTAGTAGGTTAGCATTACTCTGACACAGCTTTGAAGTAGTTTAKTCTTGAAAGGAAAGCAACTATTCTGGTCTCTTGCTGGAAAAATTAGGAGAAAAAAAGAATTACCTATTCTAGCTACTATAATTAGTTTCTTAAATGCTTTCATATACCAGTTAGAGTCAGTAGAGGCACAGGAAAAGTAGTTAACAGGGAGGAATGGAAATATATCATTAACCGAATAAACAGTGTCATATCTGAAGTGCTACAAGCATCATCAGTACCTGCATTTATTTAAACCACCAGCCAGAATGCATGCTTACCTGAAATGATTCATTTTTATTATCATTGCCAAATAAATCTGCTTTTTTTTTTTTTGTATTTCAGTGAATCCTTTTGTTTGTTTGCTTGTTTTATTTAATCAGTAGTCTTACAAACAAACAAAAAGTAAATGATAATAATGTAACTGTTGTGCTATAAACTGATGATTCAAAGTTCAGTTGACTCTATTCACAGAATCATGGAATATTCAAGGTTGGAAGGGACCTCTAGAGATCATCTAGTCCAACCTTCCCACTCTAGCAGGCACACCTAGAGCATGTTGCTGTGTTTGTGTGGGTCATGATGTATGTATAGTTGCTTATTTTCTTTGAATCCTGTCAGTGCTGAGGAATTGGGAATTTTAGTATCTATTGATCTTTAATAAAACATCTTAAAAAGTATTTTTTGAAATTTTAGAATATGAGCTTGCATAAAAAAAGGAAGATCTGCCATAATGAATAGACAAAGTCTATTCTAGCCTGATACGTTGTTTCCAACGTGGACAGAAATAGAAYGCATATGGCTCTAAGGCAAGCATTCTTTAACATCCACACATGGAAAACTTGTGGAAGACAATTTTGCTTGCTTAGAATCTGCTACTTTCTGGTCCCCTGTGTTAGCAGCAGCCTAGTTCTTGTGTAGAAGTACTCAATCACCCTTCCTGTGCTGTTCATGMTTTTCTTGGTGCCTGTCAAACTCTCTTCTCTTTCCCAGGCTGAACAATCACTCCTAATGAAACCTGTAAAGTAGGGTTAATCAGAAACAAACAATATCATGATGAACTGTTGAAATATTCTAGGGAAAGAAAAAAAGAAAGGATACTTATTTATATTCTTAATTATTTAGGCATAATAGGGAAAAATGCAAAAAAGTGAGGCTAGAGTAGCTATTTGCACAGATACAGAGGTTCAGAGCAATGGTACAAGCATTCGCTGAAGAAGAGTTTGAGGATTATGGCATACACGAGCTTAGCATGTCCGTGAATATGCACATTATGCAAGCAGATGTGGTGTGCAACACTGCTGCTCTGCTTGGCATCGTGGAGGGTTTTGCTCCCTTGCATTTAATAGAGATCGAGGTCTCAGAGGAAGAGAGTGAGTGAAAAAGCTGAGGTTGTTTAACCCGCTAAGGGTAGGATATGAAGAGACTGCAGATATTTTAAGAAAAAAAAAAAAAAAAAAGGCACTGTATTCAGTAGTTCAGCAACATCACAGACTCATGACTTGAAACTGAAATAGGAGGTGATATATTAGACCAGTTGTAATTGGTCTATGAATCCAGAATTGTAGGAAGTTTCTTGTCTTGATCCCTCCTTGCTTACACTTACACAAAGAAGTCAAGTAAGTATTTTTTAGAGTTGATTTTGATTCCTTGCAGTTTTGCTAGGAATGGTAAACATGAAGGAACTGGGCACTTGAAGCAGAAGAGAAATAACCCCATCTCCTTTCTTCCCTCCTTCATCCCCTTTCTTCTTCTCCACCCCTCTGTGAAATTGTTTCATTGTAATCTTGGTTAGGCTTTGAACAAGGCAGGMTTTATCAGATCTGTTGAGAGGACCTCACAAAGATACAAATTGAGTAAAAATGTCTGTTCTGGAAGAAATAGACTGACTTATTTTCCAACAGCCAAATAGAAAAATTCTGACTTTTTTTTTCTGTTTTCTCTCTTGAAAAGTTGCAACTAGTACAAATTGAAGCACTCATTGGTGCAATAACACACCAATTATCCCCTTTTTATGCTGAAACCACCTATTCATGAATGTTTGAAAGATATGGTACTCTGAGCTGTTGGATTTCCTGTCTTAATAGCCCTTGTTTACTATTACGAATTGAAATGTGCTGTGGAAGATGTTGAGTCCAGTTCTAGGGCTCTTGTGGGCCCTCTAAAGAACCGACCTTGTCCACATCTCTGCAATAACATCAAATACACAAAAAGGTGCTTTAAAAGAGAAGGAGGTTAATAGTTCTCCCTGGATTCAGACAGGAAGTTATATGTTCATTTGTTGCAAGGAGGTAATTTGTTGTGCAGGTCTTATAGGAGAGGTAGTAAAGCATTCGGTTAGAATTTTGGCAGACATTGATCTCCATTATTAGGGGTTTTACGATAAGAAAACTTAGGTTTCTCTTTCTCGATAGATATAAGGGCTGACGGTGTCTTGACTTCATTTTGTGCATTTTGCTCTTTGTAGAGATCAACAAAACAGAGAAGAGAAATAAGTAGCGATAGAAATACTTTCTGATTCCTCTCAATAAAAGGACAAGGAAAAGGTGAAGTGGAAAGGAAAAGAAAGGAAAAAAGGGATTGATAAGACAGAGAGGATGGTTGGAGAAAAAATAAGGCTGTGCATTTGTGTAAGTGCATAGTTTTAAGAAAAGAAAAAAAAAAGTTATTTGGCATTTTCTCTGGGAATCAATGAAAAATGCTTTGCTGAGTACCTTGAAAGCAAGTGGAGCTAGACTGAATCTCAAGGCAGTCTGAATAAATGAACTTATTCCACAGCAAAAGGAATTTTGCAAAGAAAAAAGAAAATCCTCTGTAGATTTGTAAGTTAGAGATCTGTCAGGCAGAAGCAGCAAATATTCAAGGTATTTAAATTGAATCAGTAGAGTATAAATCAGAGACTTCCCAGGATTTTTTATTAAGTTAATTATAGGTAATCATAATTTATTTTAAATTAATGAGCTGCACTGATTGAATACCTTTTCATTTGTGGTGTCTTCCATTAGTTCTAGTAGTTTGTCCAAGAGTGATACTTAAGTGTGATACTTTGTATCACAAGAATGATACAAAATTTACTTTTCCTTAGATCTTTTGATGTCCAACTCTTTTTGATATTATGTTTGGTAATACCAAGAAATGTGAGGTTGTAAGCTAGTAATTGCTAACTATTTGCATATCGTTAATATCAACTGAATAAAGCCTATTTTCAACCCTTCGTTAAAGCTCACTTTTTTTTTTCTTTATTTGTATTTTTAGGAATGTTGTCTCTGCAATTTGAGAGGTGGTGCATTAAAGCAAACTACTGACAAGAAGTAAGTAATATGTACTTCAAGAATGTAAATGCTTTTTAAAAACTTAATTCACAATCCAGTCTCATTTAGAGAGCATTTACCAATATTATTTTGTGATCATGACCACATCCCCTCAAGTTACTGCAGAATTAAATATGCTCCTAATGAAAAGTGCCACTGACATGTTGTGAAAGTAGTTAGATGCTAAAATGTACATTTACTTTATTATTTGCATGCATTTACTTGTTCCAGGTTCCATGCTGCTGATCACTCTTTAAAGAAAGCAARTGAGAATTCATAGGAATTGTTTGCATGGCAAACATGGGCAAGTGTTACCAAATAGTGAAGTATATTTTCTTATGTAGTCCTGAAAGTATTTGATTATATAATCTGGTATAATACCTCTGAACTTTTGTTAGAAACCAGTATTCCACATTAATTAATTGGAATCAATTTAAATTTACTCTGGATTTGAAGTGGTTTTTTAATACATTTTTAACACAGTCTCTGAAAAGTAGTATTTTTGCTGACATTTTGCTATTAACAGAACTAGTATTTTTCTGTTAATTTTAATGAAACTATGGTACATAAAATAATCTTAAAGGTAAAACGGCAAATGTAGTAGCGTAATATTTTTTCCAGCCCAATCATGGAACAGTTTATGCATTCTGGATATTTGCATAATTAGTTAAGTGATCTCTGTAAGTATGACAGTATAATGCAGATCTTTTTTATTTATAGAGATATTTTAACCGTTTGGAATATATTGCGAAGTTACTTCAGGTGTATGAGATTATCTACCTGCAATATCTTTTTCTGCTTATCTGGACTGGTTGATTTGTCAGTGATCTGAAAATAGTTGCATGATTTTTTAAATTGTCCAGTGAATAGAAGGTTTTATGTGAAACTTACAAGCCAGCTCTTATCCTCGAGAAGCACTGTTAACCAAATTGAAGAAGGTTGGGACCAGCTCATAGAAATACTCAATTGCAATTTAATTCTAGTTTAAATTCCCATAATCCATTGCTAACTACTTGCTTTTCTCATCAGAAGAAAATAAAAGCAAGAAAGACTTATCTAAGTAGAATTTAGCACTCCTTGTGATGCTTGTTGACAACACTGAATGGTAAACATTTGAAAACACATCTTTTCTGAGCGTTACATAAAATATTTCAGGAGTATGCTTCGTAAGATCTCTTCTTAAGAAAATCCCTCAGAGAGGTTGAAGTAGATGACTTTCTTTACGTAGCTAAAGTCTTTAGTTTTGAATTACCTCCCTCTGTAGGGTAATCTATTACAGATTTCTGAAGTGGGAAATCTGTARGAGTATTTCTACCCTTCCTTCCTGTTTCCATAACACATTACAGTTGCTATACCACACTGCGTCCCTGATCTGTGCTTAATCTGGACCTTCATCTCTCTTTAAGCATTATCTACTCTTCCAAACTTGTGTGAAAGTTACATTTTTTTTTCCCCAAGAAGTGTGAAATCCACCTAGGTCTTTCCTTCTTTCTTTTTCATTGTCCTCACTCCTGGTTAAAATACTGACTAAAGATTCAGGATGGACATTACAGTTGGAAGCTGATGAATCAGAAGTGGTTGGGGATAACAACTTTGGCACTTAGGAGAGCTGAAATTGCTTCTTCCCTGGGGAGCACCATAGTTGTTCTGAATCCTGGTGGGTTGAGAGGTATATATATATAATATAATAACATTGTATGTGTATGTATATATATATATATATATAAGTATATATATGTATATAAGTATATATATATAAGTATATATATATATACACACACACACGCACATATATGTAATTTATAATTATATCTCATATATATATGAAATATTTATAAATTTTATATATTTTTATATATATATATGTATAAATGAGGTTTATCAGGTCTGTAAAAGCTTAAGATGCAGATGGACTAAAGACCTATTTTCTATATAGCATTTCTGTCCCAATAAACCTTAGGTAATAAGACTCCTGCTATTAAGGCACTACTATTTTATATGCAGGAAGGCAGTGATGAAAAGAAAGAGTAACAGATAMAAATCTGTAAGCAAGATTGTTTTTTCCATAAGTTGGATCATAAAATAGTCAGAATAATGGAATGAACTTATGATCTGTTTGCTTTCATTTGAGTTGAATAATTTAATTTGCTGGTAGTTGCTGTCATCTTTGCATAGAACTTTCCTATCACACTTTGGCTAATACAAATTCCGTATCACATGGCAGCAGCTTGCCTGGTCCCTGTATTTCATCTTATATTCTTACAGGTATTTTGTTAGATATGACTATTTGAAATAGCACCAGTGTTTAGTGCAGAAAAGAGAAAAGGTTTCTGCTTTGCCATATTGACTCTTCTCTTTTGGCTCCAGCTCCCATTTCTCTTCATCTGCTAGGATGTTTATGTAATGTGATCTATAGCAGGTGGAGTGAGGCTAAGGTATGGAGCTTGGAAAAACAAGCAAATAGAATAATGAGGCAGGATAGACAGTAATAAAGCACATTTTAGAGTTAAGGAAGGAAATGTCCCTTTCTTTAGATTTAAGGGAGTTCATTTTTGTCCTGTTATTCCTTTCCTCCTCTCTCACCCATGAAGATTTTAGATGTAAACTCATACAGATAATTTTTCTTAATAAAAATGTTATTATCTTCACTTTTGCCTAATATAGTTTAGATAATATGTACTCTAAAACATCAATTCTTTTCCTTTTTTTCTTTCTTTCTTTCTTTTTTTTTTTTTTAGTTTAGGGTTTCTTTTTTTTTGAGATCTCTATGTTTGGAAGATAGAGCATCATTCCTTCCTAATGAGACCAGAAGGCAGGAGGTGCACAGCACAACACTGATTGCAAAGGTCCAGTCCATGTTGGGCATTTCAATGATGGCCTGATCAGTTTACGTCTCTTAGACCTTTGTTTCTGGAAACAGGAGGTCCGAATAATATATGCTTTGATAAATGCATGACCCTGTAACCATGTGTGCTATCTAAGAGTACTTGCTGAAGTCTGAATAATGTTAATCCAAAATGCTGTAGGTGATAAATTGCTCACAAATGGAGTGGTCTATGTATACATATGGATAGCATAACTGCAAAAGCTTTGCACTTCATAAATCAACTRCATCAGGCACCTGGAAAAATAAAATTAAAATTCAAACTACAATGAGATTTCTACTATTTTTTTTTTATTGTTAGGGCTGTAAAATATGTTCAAAAGAAGACTAAAAAACCCTAGTAAGCCAACCCCTGGTGTCCCTGTACTGATAACTAGCAAGGAGACAGCTTTGTCATGTTTCATTGACACAAGTTTATTAACAAAATGAATGCTGGTCATCTCTTTTCTGATCATTTTGATGCTGATCATCTCTTTTCTGAAATATATTTGCAGTATTTCAAATAACTGCTAAAACTATGTGAAGTTACCTTTTAAATAAATGTGAAACAAAATATAGACCTTCGAGTTTAGAAGAAAATAATAAAAGTGTGTTACTGAAGGTCACTGTATTTATTGATACTTGTATTTCTGCGTCTTTTTGGCGATATTCTTATCTTGGCACTTTTCGCAGGTGGGCGCATGTAATGTGTGCCATTGCCATCCCAGAAGTCAGATTTGGTAACGTTACAGAACGYACACCAATAGACACCAGCAGAATACCTTTGCAAAGATTAAAACTGGTGAGTAGTAAAGGCTTTGTATATATTTTGCTACCTAATGCTGTTCAAAACCTGAATTGTGAATACTGTTACTGGTTACAGAGCATTAAAATATTTCAGGATAAGGAATAAATATATTGAGTTTTATCAAGATTGGCCTGTTGCTTTTGACTTTAACAAATGTCAGGCCATTAACATTGTTTACAGCTGTTGCAAGAAGCCTTTGCTGTTTGATAGAAATGGTTTGAAGCTGCCATCCCCCAAAGGAAGAACAACAAAGTTGACATATGTCAGCTGTGACAGGTTTGCTTTTGAAGCTGTATGGATGAGGAAGGTACCAAAGTCTAAATAGACCAGAATATCCCACCGTGCACATATATATCTAAAATATAAATATATGTGTGTGTATTTTTTTTATATATTTATATGTGTGTATGTACACAYATATATATGCACATTTGTTATTTTGATGTATTTTAGCTTCAAAAAACTATTTATAAGAGTAGAATTGTGAATGACTTACTTGTCATGTAGTAATGTCTACCATAGGTGCATTGAAAAATGTGCACAAAGCAGTTCTTGTGTTATGCTGAAAGAATAAATTATTTGATGAGGCATTTTAAAGGATGATAAGAAAATAAATATGAATGCATGAACTGCAAACAATTATGTCCTGCGCCTCATCCTAAATAACATTACCATTCAAGAAAGTTGCCATATACTAGCAAAAAACAAGCAAAATTGCTTGTTAAATAGAAAAGATGTTTTCTTAGTGAGTTAAATGAGTACTTAATTTGACAGCATGTACATCAGGCTGATATCATCTTCTGAGAGAAGGAAGGTGATCAGCTGCTGATTAGAAAAATACTGGGAAATGACACCATCAGTTTTCTGTATCCATTTCAAARGCTATTTCAAAAATCGCTCATGATCTACCTAACTTTATATAAGCCCTTTTTTTCTATATCATTTTGAACTGTTGAAACTTTAATTACATTTTCATTTAATTCGTTATGTTTTGTGTTTTGTAACAATTTTGCTTAATGTGGAGATGGAATTTTTACTGAATTAATTAAATTTGTAAAGTTTCCTACAAATAGGAATCTTTTCAAGGAGACTTCCCAATTTTTATTTTCACATTTCTTTAAATCTTAAAGCCTGTATTTCTGAACAGTTTATGTAAAATTCATTATCAAAAAAAGTTGAAAGCTTCTTGATTAGTTAAATCTTCTTGATTACTTTAAACTATAGTTTTAAAAAGTGTATCTGCATGCTATTTCAAGCTTTGCTTAGCATTAATACACCTCCTAATAAAAAAATGGAATCTGGTAAATGGTCTGCTATGTTTTCCTCTGCTTTCATGCTTCAGAATATTAAAATCTTGAATTTTCTTATTGCAGTCAGTTCACTAAGGGGTGCAACATTCTTTTGTTGCTACTATGTGAGATCATCTCTCAAAATCTTATTTTAACCCACAATGTGTTCTTGAGACAATCCTGAATTCTCCCTGGTATGATAATATTAACAGCAAAAGTACGGTGAAATTAGAGAGAGACACAGACATTCAGCTGGTTGTAAATTGTTAATTTGGAGACTGATACAACAGGAATGTTTAGTTTACCAGGTATTGAGATACTTGATCTCACTGGGATGTCTGTGACTTGAACTGTGTAAGAGTAATAGGAACTTTCTGGAGAAGGTTTGAATTATTTTAAAATTATTGATTATGAATGTGGAGCCAAAATGTACAAAACTTAGGAAGTTACATGATTTACAGTTCATAGGTCATTATTTAATATGAAGCAACTATAGATCATTTAAGATGCTAATTTGTTATTCATAAACAAAAGCTTTTTCTTCTTTCCTTCAACTGATGTTGAAGGGACTGGTGACAGTTCCTAGTATTTTTCTCAGTTGTTGAATACTGATGTACTTTTTACCTGACGTTGAGGTACTACGGACTGTTACTTTGCATATGTCTTCTTGGTCTCCAGGGAGTCTTTGAATCTTCAGAAACAGAATGTTTACTTTCCTCAGTGTTGTTTTTTTAAAGTAAAGAAGTTTGAATTTTTGAATGAAATGAATATTTTGATGAAAGAACTCAAAAAAAAGAAAAAAAAAAAAAAAAAAAAAAAAAAAAGAGAAAGCCAGGGTACTTTATTGTATCACGTATGTGGTGTTGCCACAGGTAGTGGACAGCTTTTATTAGTTAAGATTTTTAGTAACTTAAAGGCAGTATAGTCTCAGGGCGTCTTGAAAGGCTCGGTAATGGTTTAATCGTTTGTAGACTGATATATTGCTGCTTCTGTAGTAAGAGAAAAATGTGAACTTTTCTGAAAAACATGGTCAGCCTAAGTGTGCTTTTAAATTTTGGCATTCGTTATAAATATGTTGCTGTTCTGGAATTTTTACCCCCTTTTCATCATGCTCATCTTTTCTTTTCATGGATTTCTTTTTATGGGTTTCTCTGGTGACAAGACCATAGTTCTGTATTGCTGTGATTTGATGAGAATGTATTTTTTGATGTTTCATTTTAAAGCTAAAAAGGTTCAAAATTTTCAGAAAGAAATGGAGCTTTTTCTGTTTAGGTTCTTTTATCACACTGGACCATTCATATACACCTAAGAGGAAAAACGTCAGTTCAAATTCTCAGATTTCCATAAGCACGCTGTCTTTGGCAAGCTGTGAATAGSTATCTTTAAGCAGTGTAAGAAAAGTTAAGTGAAGTACTATGCATTTAGAAATGACAGTGAAGAAGATGCAGTGAAACAAGCAACAATGAAGTAAGAATGTTGTTTTGTGAGAGAAAGGCTGACCTGTTGTCAGTTAAAATATGTCTCTTCTTTCTTTCTTTTTCTTCTTTTTTTCATTAGTAACAAATCACATGCTTAAGAGAAAAAGCAGAAATGAAGATCAAGAAATTTAGTCATGACAAAACTTTGTTGGAATTTTTTTTTCTAAGAATTGTATTTTATGCCAAAAAAAGAGAGATACTTCCTTTGAATTTAGATTTTTTTTTAATGGAACTCCTTTCTGTGCACCTAAAGAATGAATTGGACTGTACAGACTGTAACCCAACTGTCATATTGGATATTATCAACTCTGTGGGCAGGAAAGTGGCTTTTTCGTTTCCGTATTTTCTACCTTAATGACATTGGGCTAAATTTTCACATTCACATTCACATCCACATTATCACATTCCACCTTTGACTTTTGACAAGGTTGGTTCAGTTCGGTTCAATTCTGTTCAGTTGGTTCAGTTATGCACTTATTTTGACCATCTCTTGTCTGTCCATGAAATTAAATCTGTATTTGCAAATGAACACGTACCTGATGAACACGTACCACAATGAACAACGTACCTGAAATAAAATCCCCAGGTTAATATTTTATATTTTCTTCATTTTTAAGAAAGCTAGTTCTTTTAGTGGGATTATATGAATAGCTTATGTACTTTCTCTTTTTTTAGAAAAAAAAGGTCTGTGTATTAAATATTTTTCACAAATGCTTTCTCTTATTTCTTCAGTAGCTTGGACCATACTTCTCTAAATACTGTCTGTCAGTGACATTATGCCTATGCCACATCATTCCCAACACGAATGTCATTGTGTTGGGCTTCTCTTTCTATATATGAAAGTTTTGATGTCACTGAAAAATCCTAATGGTTAATTCATTCTATTTCTTTTTTTTAGGAATTGTGATAGTTTTTCTTTATCTTACTTCCCATTATTTACTTTTTTTTTTCCCCACTCCTCTCTGCTGTCATATCCTGTGTTCTTGGGGGTAGTCAGCTGAGACTATCCATGTTACTTTTACTCTATAAAAGTTAGTAGTTAGTAACTCTGACATGAGCACCAGCCATCAGTAAACTGTTGAATCAAATCTACCCCTTCGTAGTTGTAGGACTTCCCAATACTGGTCTTCAGCAGCTAGTACCTACTTCACACCTTTCCTGTTTCTCAGGATGAGGGTGTACCTTAAGGTAAGATTGTATCATGAATCAGTTTCAACCACAGAAGATTTGCCTTTACTCTTTATAAATATATGTATAAGAGTACACACCTATACTCTCTCTCTCTCTCCATATATTTTTATATATGTACACACACACACACACCCTTTGAAAATGATCTTCTTTCTGTAAAAAGACACAAGATAGTAAATAATTACTACTTCCTTTTAAAATCTGAGAGACATTTGATGATTCTTTTATTCATAACAAGAGAAAAAAAAATCATCCCCCCCTTGTTAAAAAAAAAAAAAAGCTGCATTTTTCTGCTGGGCAAGCAACAGTGTTTGAGCAAATAGTTGTTTTAAGTGTTCCTCTTTCTCTGCCTGTCTCCCTTCTCCTGAAGTTGTAGGAAACCCAAGTAAGCAGAACATTTTCTGTTTTCAGAGATCCTTAGAGTCTGAGCTGACATTTCACTAATGTGGTATCTGCAAAGGAGTATCTAAGGAAATAAAAAGTCAATGTTTTCCTTTTGACAAATTAAATAACATCTGTGCAAAGATGAACATATTGGTAGGCTGCTTTTATTGCCTCATTGATATGTATACTAATTGCTGTTAAGCACTTTTAATTCCCTAGACATTTTAGAATCAGTGTTTTGTATCAATCTTTCTATTATTAAATATTCARTATGTACTCATTGCTTCCAAAGTAAAAATCAATATTTGCATTATACTTACAGTAGCTCATAGCTTCAAAGTTATTTTGTACAGTGATTTTGTATTTGCAAGTTAATGAGTTCACTTAACCAATTTTATTTTTGTTTTTGCTTTTGTATAAAGCCTAAATGTTTTCATACTTTCCCCAACTCATTTCAATGAGTTATGTGCTGCTTGCCTACATTGGTAAAAATGTACGTGACACATTGTAATGTTCATAAAAAATTAATTCTCTTAGAAATGATTCATTTTTGATAAAAAAAGATTATGCCACCTACTATGTTGAATTAAGCTTTACCATGCCTTATTTTCTAGGGACAGAGAGGTAGATGGTTTGTACCTGACCTTTCACA